CCTTTCCCCCTCTCTCCCTCTCTCCTTCCCTCTCTCCCTCTTTCTCTTTCCCTCCCTCCTTCCCCCTCTCCCTCTTTCTCTTCCTCTTTCTCTCCCTCCTTCCTTCTCTCTTTCTCTCTCTCCCCCTCCCTTCCTCCTTACCTTTCCCCCTCTCTCCCTCTCTCCTTCCCTCTCTCCCTCTTTCTCTTTCCCTCCCTCCTTCCCCCTCTCCCTCTTTCTCTTCCTCTTTCTCTCCCTCCTTCCTTCTCTCTTTCTCTCTCTCCCCCTCCCTTCCTCCTTACCTTTCCCCCTCTCTCCCTCTCTCCTTCCCTCTCTCCCTCTTTCTCTTTCCCTCTCTCCTTCCCTCTCTCCCTCTTTCTCTCTCCCTCCCTCCTTCCCTCCTCCTCTCTCCCAACCTCCCCCTCTCCCTCCATCTCCTCCTCTCCCGTCCCCACTCTCTCCCCTCCATCTCCCCCACCCTCCCTCCCTCCCTCTTACCAGAAACTGTGGAGGTAGCAAAAGTTGAGCCTTTGGCAGAAGCCGCAGAAGAATTTGTCCACCAGCCAGCAGCTGATGGCGATGACCCACCAGAAGGTCATAGTCAAGGCGGCACGCCTAACGGCCGGGCTGTTCAACCTGCGGAAGGGCTCAAGGGTTAGCGGTCCTTTGGCCGGCCGGCAGATCAAGGCCACCCATCCTGTGTCCCAGCCAGAGTCCCTGCTCTGGGCTGCCCTGCAAATAGGGACCCCCACCCCCACCCTGGGTCTCGCTCGGCTAAGCGGCAGCTGGGCTCAGGCTTCCCGACAGAATACAGGGAGTCCTCGATTTACGACCGTTCGTTTTATTGGCCAAAATGACAACGGCCCCAAGAAAAAGTGACCCAGGGCCCAAATCTCAGCTGCCCACCCTCTTCCCTTCTGGGGGGATCCCCGCTTACCTGCGCACTTCCACAAAGGCCAGGTAGAGCAGGTGGAAAGCCACGCAGTTGAGGACGTAGGCGTTGAGGGCCGGCTTGACGAAGGACATCAGGGTGCTGGTCACTGTCACCGTGGCCACAAAGGTGAGGAACTGCTCCCTAAGGGAGGGACGGCCACGTTCAGGCCTTTGACCCTGGAGGCGGTTCCTCCTCCTCCTCCTCCTTTCCCCTTCTCCTTTTCCCTCTCCTCCACTTCCTCCTCCTCTCCTCCCCCCTCAACCTTCTTTCTTTCTTTCTTTCTCCTCGTCCCCGTCCGCCCCTTCTCCTCTTCCTCGTTTCCTTATTCCTCCTCTTCCTCCACCTTCTCCCCATCTCTATTTCCCCCTTCTCCCTCTCCTCTTCTTCCTCATTTCCTTCTTCCTCTTCCTCCTCCTTGCCTCTGCCCAACCTTTTCTTTCTTTCTTTCTCTCTCCCTCCCTCTCCTCTTCCTCATTCCCTTCCTCCTCCTCCTTTCCTCCTCTCCTTCGTTCCTTCCTCCTCCTTTTCCTCTTCCTCTCCTCCTTCCCCTTCTCCCCCTCCTCCTCTTCCTCATTTCCTTCATCCTCCTCTTCCTCTTCCTCTCCTCCCCCCTCAACTGTATTTCTTTCTTTCTCCTCTCCCTCCCTCTCCTCTTCCTCATTTCCTCCTTCCTCCTCCTCCTTTCCTCCCCATCTCTCTCCCCCTCCTCCTCCTCCTCTGCCTCTTCTCCTCCTCCTTCCTTCCTCCTCCTCTTCCTCCTCCTCTCCTCCCCCTCAACTGTATTTCTTTCTTTCTCCTCCCCCTCCCTCTCCTCCTCTTCCTCATTTCCTCCTTCCTCCTCCTCCTTTCCTCCTCCTCTCCTCCTTCCCCTTCTCCCCCTCCTCCTCCTTTCCTCCTCCTCCGCTTCCTCCTTTCCTCTTCTGTCCTTCTTCCTCTCTCCTCTCCCTTCTCCCCCCCCCCCCGCAGCAAGATCCACCGGACACCATCCCAAAAAGTTGCCAATGCCAATAAAACACCGGTTGAATGACTCCCTCTTGGCTTTGGAGGACAGGTGTGGTTGGCGGGGGGGGGGGGAATACGCGGCCCCTGCGGGTTGTCTGATGCACCTGAGGTTGTGCAGCCCATTGGAAGGAGGCACCAAACTCTTTCAGGGCTCACTTTTTGGTGGGTCTGGGGGATCAGGGGGCCAAGTGATCTCCTCAAGTCCACCCCTCCTTTTTTGGTCTGGGTTTGGGATCTGTGGAACCACTTGGTAGCCGAGCATTTCCCAACCTGAGGGAAATGAGAATGAGAATAGAATATAGAATAAAATAATAGAATATAGAATATAGAATATAGAATATAGAATATAGAATATAGAATATAGAATATAGAATATAGAATATAGAATATGAAACAAGAAAAGAATAGAATATAGAATAAAAGAATAAAAGAATAGAATAGAATAGAATAGAATATGAAATTAGAATAGAATAGAATATGAAAGAATAGAATACAGAATAACAAAATAGAATATAGAATAACAGAATAGAATAGAATAGAATATGAAAGAATAGAATAGAATATGAAATGAAAATAGAATAGATTAAAATATAGAATAACAGAATAGAATAGAATAGAATATAGAATAAAAGAAAAGAATAGAATAGAATAGAATATGAAATTAGAAAAGAATAGAATATGAAATGAGAATAGAATAGAATATGAAAGAATAGAATAGAATATAGAATAAAAGAATAGAATAGAATAGAATATGAAATGAGAAAAGAATAGAATAGAATATGAAATGAGAATAGAATATAGAATAATAGAATAGAATATGAAAGAATAGAAGAGAATAAGAATAAGAGGAACAGAACAGAATAGAATAACAGAGTCAAAAGGGACCTTGGAGGTCCTCTAGTCCAACCCCCTACTTAGGCAGGAAACCCTGCACCACTTCAGACATATGGTTGTCCAGCATCTTCTTCAAGTGTTGGAGCATTCACAACTTCTGGTGGCAAGGAGTTCCGTTGATTAATTGTTCTGACTGTCAGGATTTTTCTCCTTCGTTCTAGGTTGCTGCAGTTTTGATCCCCTGTCCCAGACTCTGAACTTTGGGGTGCAGAGGAGACCCCCTCCCCACCCTCTACCCCCTGCCCTTCGGGGGGGGCAAGGGAGGAGCGTCTGGGGGTGGGGTGGGGGGTCTTCCTTACCTGTTTTTGATGAAAGAAGGGAAATAGCGGATGGGGAACCAGAAGCCGTAGGAGACGCAGAGGGTCCACAGGATGGACAGCTCGTCCAGGAGCTGCCCGGCGTAACTCAGGGTCATGTGGTAGTAGAAGGAGAAGACGCCTGGGGAGGAAGAGGGGCGGCTGAACGGAATGACAGAGTTGGAAAGGGACCTTGGAGGTCTTCTAGTCCAACCCCCTGCTCCAACAGGCCCTCTCCTCGCCAGCAAAGCATCTGGGCTGCCATTGAGGCCCATCCTCAGAACCCCTTAGCGGCCATTGGAGAAAAATGTCATAAAATCAGATCAATGGTCTGATGACCTGCTTTATGACCGTCGCGGCTGAGGGCCGTAGCAGGCAGGCTCCATTACGGTCATAAGATGAGGACTGTGCTTTCTGCAAAATGTCCTTCCTACAGGTTGTCCTCAACGTATGGCCGCCATTGAGACCCAAATGTAGGTTGCTAAGGGAGACGGTGGAGCTCTGCTTCATTTTACGATGCTTGGCAATTGACTCATATTTATGACGGTCGCAGCGTCCCGGGGTCACGTGATTCCCCCCCCCTTTTGCAATGTTCTGGTGAGCAAAGTCCACTGGGGAAGCCAGATTCGCTTAACAACCGTGTGACTCACTGAACAATTGCAGTGATTCGCTTAATGACGGTGTCAAGAAAGGGCCGTAAAATGGGGCAAAGCTCACCTGTCTTGCTTGGCAATGGACATTTTGGACATTTCGAAGATAATCTAGCCTTAAAATAAAGATGGGACTAGTCCTCTTGATGCTGATGCTTGGCTGGTCTTCCTCGCAGGGCTCAATGGCGGGGGGGGGGCTGGCTTCCTGCTGACGTTGGAGCCCCCATAGTCACCTACCGATAAACAGCTGCAAGATGACGAAACCCCGGATCGGCACAGGACGATAGCCGGTATAATCGGTGTTGAGCCACAACATCAGGGGGGCCAGGATGAAAAAGGCCACGTTGGTGATCTGCAAGAGGGAGGGAGGGAGGAAAGAGGGAAGAAAATGGAGGAATGAAGGAAGGAAAAGGGAGGGAGGGGAAGAAAAGGAAGGAAAAGGGAGGGAGAGAGGGAGGAATGAAGGAAGGAAAAGGGGGGAGGGAGGAAAAGGGAGGGAGAGAGGGAGGAATGAAGGAAGGAAAAGGGAGGAATGGGGGAAAGAAGGAAGAAAAGAGGGAGGAATGAAGGAAGGAAAAGGAGGGAGAGAGGGAGGAAAGAAGGAAGAAAAGAGGGAGGAATGAAGGAAGGAAAAGGGTGGGAGGAAAGAAGGAAGGAAAGGGAGAGAGGAAGAAAGGGAAGGAAAAGGGAGGGGGGAGGAAGAAAAGGGAGGGAGGAAAGAAGGAAGAAAAGGGAGGAAGGGAGGAAAGAAGGAANAAAAAAACACACTTTTGTGCACCCATTGATCACATCTGCTTTTACTCGCTCTTCACACCCACCTCCACAAACAGTTCGGCTGAGGGTTAGAGTTGAAACAAGCCCATGATCGTAATTTTTATGTCCCTGCTCCGCAAGGGCCCTAAAATATTGCCCCGAGGGGTTGCATCTGCGGTGGATGAAAACTCTTTGGAGATGGGACGTTTCACCACAATGGTGGGCAAAACAAAAGGGACAAGCCAGCATCCTTGCGTTGTTGCCCAAATGCCTCTCTGCCACAATGGCTACTTTCTACGCACCACGACAAAATTTACCTGCTGGGGGCGCTGCGCAAAGATCTTGACTGGGCGGGTGGTACAAACTGGGCGTCCCTGTAACGACAACACAAGACGACTCAGCCCCTTTCCAGGGTTCTTTGATTAAGCCAGGATTGGTGGCTTCTCCTGGTTTACCACTGTTTAAACTCTGGATTTTCCATTTTAAGCCGTGTAGGTTTCGGCTGCAAGCTGGTAGGGGTGGCGAATCCCGGCTTAGCTTCACCACGCCTTGAGAAGTTCATTTTTAACCCGCTGGCCTCCTGTTTGGGCTGGAAAACAGCTTAATGTAGGTTTGGGTTGTAAGTGAAGGTTGCAGCTGCTATTCCAAATTGCTCGCCCTGCTTTCCTCAGTGGGACAATTGGGGAAGAAACATGGAAGAGAAGGCTGCATCCACTAAAGGTTTTCTCAGCCCTGTAGAAGTTTGCAAAAAGTTTTGGCTCTCCTTCCAAGACTGAATTTTGGGGAGGGGGGTGGTAGGAAACCAGCTACATCCTGGGCAAAGGGGCATCTGAACCCCCCCCCCCCCTTCCCACATCCCACCAGAGAATTTCAATTGGAGTCAAATTTGAGAGCGAGGGGTCTGGATGGAGTCTCTCTCTCTCTCTTTTTGTGGCAGAAATGGTGCAAATCAACCACCCCTGGCCCAGCCGAGAATGTTGCCTCTCCGGGGATCCCTCAGCGGGTCCAAGCAGTGAAAGAGGGGGGGTTGCACCCCTGCCCCTTCAACGGGGCAGGAAAGCAAGGATGCCCCATGAAGAATGAACCCAGGAGAGGGGGGGGTCAACCCATAAAACAGATTAATTCCTTTCCTTGGGCAGCAGCTCCCTGGGGACGTCAGCCAGGTCTGGGTGGGTCCAGGGAGTTGCAACGGGGCACTGTGCCCTCCTAGATGAGGGTCCAAGCCAGGGAAGGCATAGAGCCGTCATGGTGAGCCCATGGCACGGGTGACAGAGGTGGCACGCAGCGTCCTCTCTGTGGGCACCGATACCAGCAGTTCTTCTGGTTTCTGGCGTGCGCTTGTGTCCTGGCCACATGGTCTTTGGGTTTCCAGAGACCAGCTGGCTGGGGGATGCGCATGGGTGCGCGTGTGTTCCGGTTTGGGCACTCGGTGCCGAAGAAGGCTCTCCATCCCTGGCACAGACGAGCCCTCCCCAGGGCTGCCACTCTGGCTATGGGTCGAGTGACGGATGCCTACCTACAGAGGCAAGGTTTTCGGGCAGGACAAACGCCGGGAAACCTCGGTTTTGTTGCTGCCCGTCTGCTCGGTCTAAGGGTCGAGAGGCGTAGGTCTCGTGCTGGGGGTAGAAGACTTTGGGCTGCTGCATGCTCCTTCTGGGGGCTGAAGGACCGTCTTCCCACCTGGACCCCCGCGGAGGGAGGGGCGTGGCTTCCTGGAGTCCGTTGCCATGGGCACCCTTCTTCTGTTTGCGTGGTTACTCAGGAACGGGTTCCAGGCGGGTCCTTTAAGGTTCTGCATCCCTTGACCCTTGTGGGACAGGTGGGTGGGTGGGTGGATGGGCAGCGGGGCGGGTGGGGGAGAGAGAGAGAAAGGGTGGGCAAGAAAGGTAAGTGAAAGAAGAACCAAGGTGGGGCCAAGGGTCCGCTTCTGGTCAGAAGGTCCAGGGCACACATTGTCCTCCTTTGGATGTTCCAAGAGTCACCTTTGTAGAAGGAAAGAATCATGTGGGCACCAAGAGGCCTCGCCCCAAATCTGAGCTGTGCCCTCCCCCACAAAAAAAACCTTCAGGGGCAACCGAAAAAGGCAAGATGGCTGCCCCGGCGGTCTAATTGAAGCTCTGCCTTTTGCGTGGCGGTTACGATCGGTCCATGGCTTCCCTGCTCTCTCCTTCCTCCCCCCCCACCTCAAAACAACGTCTCCACACCCATTTGGGTCCTTGGTTGTCACAGGGAAGGGGCAGAGTATCCATGGGGCCATGGTTTATTTGGGGCTTGTTTTGCAACGCTTTGCCCTTTCAATCAGCGGCATCTTTGGGGGGGGGGCCTTGGTGCTCTCTGGACTTCGGGGTTTCATTACCCAACTAGGCAACATCATCAGTGTTAGTAGGGGGTGTGGGGGTTTGCTCTCTGTTTATGTGCTGGTGGCTTGCCTTGTCCGCGTTGGCGGAGGAATGTTTGTTTTTGCCTCCTTGATTAGGATATTGCTTGGTTATTTGTCTTGTATTAACACCCGTTTATCTGGATTTCTCTTTCTGTGAATTCCTTGAGCTTGGTGGTTTTCTTGCACATGTTTCAGGATGACCCAACTAGGTAACATCATCAGCGGTGATGGAGAGTGTGCGCTTTGCTCTCTGTTTATATACTGTGGCTTCTCCTGTCCGTCTTGGCGGGGGGAGCAGTTTTTCTCTTGATGGTCCCTTGATTCGGGCGCAGCTCGATCGTTTCAATGGTGTTAATAATCCCTGTTTATCTGAGCTTCTTTTTCTACGGAATTTTTGGTGCCCTCTGAGTTTGGTGGTTTTGTTGCAGGCGTTTCATTACCCAGCTAGGTAACATCACCAGGGCTTTAGGTAAGGATGTTGCTAAGGACCTCACAGCTCAACTCTGAACTACAAATATTTCCCTCTTATCTGTTGTGTCTCTAAAATGCTTTCCTGTGTGTGTGTGTGAATGTGTGTGTAAGCCATCCAAAGTTGTTTGCAAGTTGGGTGTTCACTGCCCTGTGTGAAGCTTACCACCCTTCGCTCAGTGACCAAAGTTATAACAGCACTGCAAAAAGAGTGACTTATGACCGTTTTTCACACTTATGATTGTTGCGGCGTCTCACAATCACATGCTCAAAATTCAGGCCCTTGGCAAAAGACTCATATTTACGACAGTCGCCGTGTCCCATGGTCACACAATCCCCTTTTGCGACCTTCCATGGGGAAGCCAGATTCACTTAACAACTGTTCCAGGTATCGCCTTCATTTTAAGGAGGGTGGGGGGGCGCCTGTCAAATTCCTAAGTGTGCTTTTGTTGTTGTTGTGGCCATTATTGCTTCTCAGCTTGCCAAGGAACTCAGAGGGAGGGAAAAGGGAGATGGAATTGCAGGCTCCAGATATCAAGAAGACAGCCGTGGGAACCAAGGTCCCTTGGGCAGGTGTCTGCCAGAGCCAAAGGCTTTTTCTCATAACGATATAATGAGACTCAATTGGACAACGTGACCTGGTCTAATAGGGGGAGGCAGAATCTCTACTTTAATTCTGTGGGCTTCCGCAGGAATTAGCCAGATCTGGTTTTGCCCTCATCTGGGCCGAAAATGATGTACTCAGGAAAGTTTTGCATTAAGAGATTGGATCGGCTCAGCCGTGTTGGGTTCATCAGTCAGTTCCTCCTTTCCTTCCTTCCTTCCTTCCTTCCTTCCTTCCTTCCTTCCTTCCTTC